TGCACTAGAACAGCTGAACCAAATATCCATGGAATATTTCAACTGCGACGTTAAACTGATGCTTGTTCGAAGACTATCAGAGTCAGCTGTCTCGTCGATGTGATGAGCGCGATGCGGTTAGAACGCCCTCCCCCTCCCCTAAACATAGGCGATGAATGAATTCCATGGCGACAGAACTTTATCAGAACCTGTAGAAGCAGAAACCTGCATCTGAAGTCCTCTGCATGGCGAAAAAATACAGATGGTAGAACCGTCAGTTGATATATGACAATTCTGATGTGTTAGAAAGTAGAAACGTAAAATGGAAAGGTATCATTAGAATTACACTGCAGCCCAAAGCCTGAATATGAAGAAACGGGACTTTAGTTTCTTACAGAATGAAATGCGAGTACTAAATTCAATTAGGATTCATGGGCTGAAGGATGTGGTTATACAGTATTAAGAAGCAAATAGCTTGCTCTGCTGTCAAAGTGCCTGTTAGCTGTATTAACTTTGCACGTTACCAAAGGAAATTGGCAACCGATGGCAGTTCTTTAAAATATGCAGAAGATACTAAATTCTTGTTGCCAATTTATGGTTAGAAGATAATTACCGCTTTACCATCGTCTTCAGAGAGCTGGCCGATATCCGCTTATAATCAATGTCCCAAAAGCTAAAGGCCGCATCTTTCAGCTACACCATGCAAAATATCAGCAGTGAATCAGGTAAAAATTGAAATTACCTCATTAAAAGAAGAATGACAAACACTGCCCATCAAGCAAATGTAAGGGAGACGGATCCTTTCACAATTAAAGAATTTCTTATCCGTATTTCTTGGTGACAGAAGAGAATAACCCAGTGCAAATGTAGCAACCATGCACCACTGAGTGAAATTTCGAGCAAAAAGTTTGGCTTTGAGAACGTCACATTCAAAGAAGAGCAACAATTTACGCATTGAACAACGAACCCTCTTTGTTACAAGAAGTAAATACTTCAACACAACAATCTGCAAAGGGTTTATTCAGTACCCATATTCTATGCACAGGTGGGTGATATGTGGGATGGCACCGGATCTATATTCAGGGGAACACAGACGGAAATTACGTGTAAACAGTTTCTCAAAAACCAAACGTAAGCCAAATATGTACATTACATATGCCTATGGATAGAAGTATAACTGTTTGTGTTTGAGCATGTTCTTGTTCGACACAAAGAGTGGTGCTGTTTGTTCACATGCAGGTGTTAAAATGCAATGGATCCCTGGTTAGCTTAAACGGTACCCTAGGCTACTAGAATCAAGGGGAAGGTGCAAATCCGTCGTGTAAATTCAGTGAAGTAATAGGAAATTAGGCTAAATTATTATCCATGGACGATGAGCATTTTTACGCAACTTACTTTTCAGAATACTCACGACAGAAAGAGAATAAAAAGAAATATTTCGAAACCGACCTTTCGAGGGATCAAAGTAGACTTTGTGCCGAATGCGCGCAGAAGACGACGTGACGTTCAGGTTCTGCGATATGACACGATTGTTTTTGAACCATCTGACCTGCAGAAAACAAAATTGCGGATGATCGCAAATGTGTGCTTCGGAGAAACTGGAAAAACTTTGTTTACCGTTTGGTTTTTACCCAAGCACGTGTTAACAAAACACTCGAGTTCGGTTCCAAAACGGCCTATCGCTTTTATGTAGCTGTCTTCGTTAGAATACACAGACGGAACAGACAGAGATTCTTAAAATAACAATATGCCAAAAGAACACTTGAAAACGTAACAAGCCGCCATCGATCTCACCTCCGCAGCAGATCTTGCTTGATAAAAGTATAAGGCCAAAAAATGAGATTCTTAACATGATAAAAAATATTCAACGATGCAATAAAACCTAAAAAGTACAGTAAAACATTAATCAAATCACGGTAAAACAAAAACGCGTTTGCACTCTAAAAAAGGTCATATTTGAAATTGAAAGTTTACAACATAAACAAGATGATCTGAGTAGACCGCTTTTTCAGCATAGATCAAAGAAAATAAATCATCTTTGTAAATAAATATTAAATATTAAATGAATAAATGGTAGTGAGAATAAGCAAAATAAATGAAGCTACAGACAATACTATGAACGAAAGAGATATAACCGATTTAGTGAGCAATGGCAAAACGACAGAAAAAACAGAACTGCTTTTGAGTTCAGATCGTTGTCATCAACTCGAACCCGTATGAACAAATAAATCAAATCAACAGGCACGACATGAAAAGTGCTGGATTTTTGGGCATCCACTGGATCCAATCTACTTGAATCGATAGCAATGCCAAGTATCGGCTAGATTCCTAAGAAGGCACGTGACAGATTGGACAAATTGCGACGATGACTGTCTGCGTGACGAGTAACACAAGCGACTGCTTAGTTTTTGGTCGATTAAGAACAGAAAATAACTATAAACCAGTTTTACCAGTAAGAACATGAAAAAACAGGCTGACGTCGAGCAAAAAATGTCCAATCATTCGCCTAGAAGGATAACGAAGAAAATTATTTAAGAGAAGAACGAACGGAAACGAACTTGTCTAGGGCAATGCCTGAGGCAGATCTAGATGATCCGTTCGTTTTATTCTTCGTTTGAACGAACGATATAACCAGTATCTAATTTGTGGCAGCGCAGATGGATCAAGAAAGCACCTGCGGCAGCCGCTAGCCCATTAAAGAAAGTTGTTCCGCACACATGATCCCGACTGGCATTTACGTGACGACGAAATATTCATCTGCGTAAATCTTAGTGTTCACGCCATGCGTCAACGAGTAACAAATAAACGAGGCATGTCACATGAGAGGGCAAGGCGCGGTGTGAAGAGTACAACTAACTCTCCAGCAGCAAATACAGAATACTAGAAAAAAAATATCCTGTTAAACCCCAGAACAGTTGCGTAACGACAAAATGCAAGTGTGATGCAGGCAAATCCCACTGATTTAAGGCAATCTGTCTACAAAATAAAAACAGGTAACAGCCGTTGGAGAGTCTAGTGAACCATTATACATCGATTTTTTGGAAACGAGACGGCGATATTCAGAACGACTCATCTATAAAATAAAATCTTACTTTAAACCGATACTCCATCAAAAAGACAGCACTGAAGCTGGTGCATTAAATGTCGATACATGCAACATCTGAAAAGAATAACCAAAAATGAAGGTTTAAAGTTCGACAAAGTCTTCATCCCCCATCGCCGTTCGACAGAGTCTTTACAAGATTACACTGCATATAAAAATTATCATATTTTTATTATTCTCCAACTACTCAGATCATGCTCGATTCGTCTTCAAGGAGCGACATTTTACAGATACCTGTACGACTCTCTGTCGATGCTGGAAAACAGATCATGATCTCAAATGTTAGAGAACTTGTATAAAACAAACTTCATATGCAGAGTAATCCCGTAAAGAAACTAAACTAAATTCCAGCATAAAAGAATCCACCTGAGTGGCTAAAATAACAAAATCAAGATATTCCGATTATGGCCGAAATACCTCGATTAGTACTGTCGGATCCCAGAGAGGACAATAACAACCAATACGAGTTAGCAATCACCTAGTGATCAGCGGATCAATTAATCATACAGACAGTCTCCAAGCAGCTGCAGAACAAACGACAGTGTGCGCCACTCAATCCATATCCGTTATTCACCCATGTAGCGTCGTTGCCGCAGAAGCGCAATTTAAAAGTTTTCTGAACTTTTGCCGCGTGACTAGCGCAGTCCTTATCGAAATCGACTTAGCACAACTCTACTCCACTGCAGCTCCCACTTGACGAAAAGCGAACTTCTCAACAATTCCTTTTACGGTTTTTGTCCAGAACTAGTGTACAGGACAGAGCCGATGTACTGCTTCACTCGTCGTTGCAAATCCCCAAGAAAACAGCACCGCTCTGGTGCTAACCGGACAGGCGATCGACGAGCATGTCCACAAAGGTGCAAACAATTTCCTGTAAAAATGAAAGTCCCGCCGGCGTGACACAAAAAAAATTCATACGACAAATTCAACAACTCTGCAACACTGATTTTTTTAATGAAGCCTTAAAGAATAATCTGCGAATAGCACAATATGGAACTAATATGCATAAAAAGTGAAGAGAGAAACAAGGTGCGCCAATCGACAAAACAATTAGAACGACATTCCCAAAAGAGCGACGATGCCCTAGTCAGTAAACTACAGAAAAAAAGGATCCGCAAGATGCATCACAATATTAAGGGCAGATTGCAATGAAAACATCGTATTGAACCATAAATTTAACAGCATTGTTTAACGCTATAGTCCAAAACAGAGATACTTTATTAAATAAAAATTTCGGGAATTAATACCGCAGAAAGACAGTGAACTCATACCATGGAAAACAATGAAAGAGGGTTGCTATTCAAAATAAGTAAAATAGGTTTAAGTCACCACCTAAGAGAATTCGCACTACTCCTCCTCAATTCATTACACATCTGCAAATTGCGTAGCTTAAAATCGGCACCGTGTCAGAACACTTGGAAAACCAATTCCTCTAAGAGACTCCATTTGGTTCGTGCCATTTCAAAATCACTTTCACCCTCCATGACCACTTTTATTTTTGAGTTTCAGAGGACTCGACAAACAGTGCTTCCAAAATTCCCGATCTTGTGCCAGCCTAAAAGATTTGGCAGACGACAGCCGGAGTCTAAATAAATTTCCTTCAATGCATTTGGATAAAGTTAATATGGGCTAATTCACTGATTTTCTAGTGCCCTTCTTCGCAAATGACAGTTACTTTTCCTTTTTCCGGACGGTTTCGAAACGCGTGCTCACACAATTGCAATCTGAATAAGCTGCGGTTGTACAACAAGGTATCCTAGGACTTCTGTACTTCGGAATATTTCGAGACTTGTAAGCCCGGCGAGTCGTTTCAGAAAAATCTTTTCTGCCGTTCTAAGCGGGATCCAAGTTTCTGAATCTTGCGACACCACTCGTGACCGCAACTGAGCACGAGAACATAAATATCGACAATTTAATCTTCGTAGTCAGATCTGCTTTAATCACAGAAAATCGGGCTAGATAACGTAGAACACTATTTATTAATCTAGTTAGCTGGTCCATCTCTTGATTCCATTTAGCATCACCTGTGAACACGATTCCGTGGTACATAAAACACTCAACGTCACACTCGGCTGATGGCCTTTCCAGACAGCGTTATAGATCAGCTTTAGAAGAAGATAACAAAGCGATGCCGTCTGCAAGCAGCAACCATCTCGACTCGATATCTCCTACATTGATACCCTCATCTTCGCGATAGCGACAGACTATTTTTTCCATGCATGACTCAAACAGGAGATAGGTCCTTGCGCCTTCTTGGTTGAGGTTGAAATATTTCTGTCTAACCCCATTTACTCTGACGCAGCACCGTTTCTCATAAAGAACGCATTAGATGGACCGTAGCAACTGGCTATCGTTCACATCCATGCCCATTAAGTGTTAAACGGTATGCAGTTATAGGCTTTCTTTCGGTCCACAAAGTATACATAATCCGGATCAGCGTTTTACCTATTTCTCAAAACTTTTTGCCATAGGTCAAACGTCTGATTAGCTGTGTTAATTTGAGCATATCCGACAGTTTTTGGGCATTCGAACTGCAACCTATGTTATTCAGGAATGTGGTGTCTTTCTAGCACGTACTTCTCGTTTGACGGACATGTGAAAGTCAGAATATAACGTATTCGCCAAATGTTTTGAGCATTTCAGCGCAAATTTCATCGATTCCATCAATATTTCTTTTATTCATGGTAATCACAGTTTGTGTAATTTCCTCTACAAAAATAATAATATCCATTTCCTACTGTTTTTCAGGCGAATCTTCTAACGGCTGCTTGGGGTTAGGAAGTTCTTCCTGGTATATTCTCCATAGCCGAAGAATGTCCTCATCCTCAGTGGGGCGGTGTACAAGTTTGTGTTTTATTAATGGCACTGAATCTTCTCATTTCGAATGAGGTGGATGATCTACCAAATTGCCTTAGCTGCGTCAAAAATTTTGAGTTCAACGCTTCACCAAAATTCTTCATAAAAATCAGTTTTGGATTTCGCCATTGCCTTCATTATCATCTTCTTCGCTTTTGCATACCACATACCGATGAAGGCTTGTTGCTTCCAAGCTATTTCTTGAAAATGGCCTATTCTGTGACAATTCTACTTTTCGTGTCCATCATAAAATTCGATTCTGAGCTGGCCAAAGTTTTTCAAACCGCGGTCTTCAGTGACAGCTCAGAACAAGCGGTTTTCAAGAAACTTCGGTTCGTTTTCCACACAGGCGGTCATTAGCGGGATCTGTCCAAACCGTCATGCGATACTGTTGGCAAGTTTTGCGTTCGTATCCGAGAACGAAAATGTTTCCAACTTGGTTTTCTAGTACTTTCTGATATTAGCTCGCGGCGTGATGTTCTGTCTCTCATAACATGGCCTGAAAGGATGCTTTGTGATTTTCACAACGTGAGCATACATTACGGCTGGTCGTAAGTCAGACGATATGATTTTCAAATCGATCATCGACTTCTGTGTAAAAGTTGTCCTATGCCACAAATACTGATCAACGCTTGGATGGCCCAAAAAAATGTAAATAAAAAAGGTCAGCTGTTGCACAAAGCCGAAGAAACTTCATGCCATTGTTGTTGAAATCACTAGGGCTGTTCTTTGTAATCACATCTTTCGACTTGCCATGCGTGTTGCAATCGCCCTTTAGAATGAGACTCTTCATACGTCAACTTCTCGAGAGTTTGACGGAATCTTGCATCCTTCGGCTAATATCCTCTGTGGACTACGATAAAGAGTTCAGCAATGTGTAGTGCAACGTAATG